AATGGAACATCCTATTTTTTGCTAAATGCAGATGTAATTCTATGTTCTCTTCCCCTTTCTGTTGTTGTTGTTGTTCTGCCTTTTATAACTTGACATATTTTTTCCATACCCTCGTTAAAAATTTAAAGCTACAATGGTATCTGATATTCATGCCTGGCGAGGGTTAATAAGTCAGTGCCTATTCCTTCTCCATTTCAATTTAGTGTACATCCCCCTCAATGCCTGAGTGTAGTGAATGGAACATCCTATTTTTTGCTAAATGCAGATGTAATTCTATGTTCTCTTCCCCTTTCTGTTTCAGTTTTTTAAAATTGTCTGAAATCTGCAGTAGAAAATCTAATAAAAAGACAGAAAATTAGAGTTTATTTTTGGATTCTTATGTTTTTTGGTGAGTCTGGTGACTGGTAGTTGTATTCCTGTAACATGACCTTATGCTATGTGGATGAATTCTGTTGTGGGAACTTTGAAGCAGTTGGTTGACTGCAGTTTTAATTGTGCAGGAAGATGGTATTAATCTGCTATCCATCATCAAAGGTACTAGTAAATATCGTCATTCAAAAAGGCATGATTATGTCATGGATTTTCTGCCTCCTAGTATGTCAGAGTTCAAGAAAGCAGTCCAGGACTTTCGGTAATTTGACTATTTGAGCATAAGGTGCATCAGGCAAATACTTGGTTGTAGCATATCATCGAGCATAAGCTTATCCCTTTTTTCCTTTTTCTATTTTTCCCAGTAGTTCTTCCTTGTTTCTCTTTGTTCTTTTTCCCTCTTGTTTGCATGATCTTTTCTTTCCCTGTGCGGTCTGTAGTAGAATACATATGTTTGTGTAGTCGAGCATATGTGATACAAATGAGGGCTGATTTGAACTACAGCTTAACATTAATTTAAATTATATGACTAATTGTGAACCACACCTATTTTGACAAAATATTCAAGTAACCTCTATTTGTTACCCTTTATCGATAAAGACGTGGAGAAGCAAATATATATTTAACAATCTGTGATGAATTCCTATGCTGACTTGCATTTAGAACAATAAAATAGTCACTGCCTAACAAAGCTCCACAATGCAAGACCAGACTTTGGTCGACTGCGATTTGTGTAAGGTCATTAAACTTCAAGGGGAAAAGGAGATAGGAAATCCCTGCTGCAATATAAGGAAGGTTGAGTCAATTTGAATCTAGAGATTGGCCAAAGTCTTCACTGATAGACCATCATTGAATGCCCATGCGGTAGACAAAATTACTTGAATAAGTGATTAGAGGAAGGGGTGATTGAACTAGTGGAAACAACCAGGGGAATGACGCTAATTTGTCATCCTTCTCTTTTGAACTTTTTTCTTGGAATTAAGGTTACATTGCACGAAAAGCTCCATTGACATACTAAAACAGCATGGTGAAAACCAAACAGATAAAGTCCTCCTCCATTTTAACCTATAAAATGTATGTATCTGCAAAAAGCTACCACCATAGTTAAGCCGTTAGTGAGCAGTATCTACATCAATGATTACACGTTTCCACATGTATAAAACACATATTTGCTTCTTTATGTGCGTTCTTCCTCTTTCCCGAGTCTCTCTATCTCCATGTGTATATGTATGTCCATGTGAAGCATATGCATGTCCTACTTGCTTCGATGCAGCAATAAATATCTATTCACTTGAACACGTTTTAATTTCTTTCAACTATCTCACCTCTGCTCAGTTGACTGTCACTTTGTTCATGTAGCAGTTCCTTGTTGGCACTTGCTGCAGCACTGATAGACATAAATGACTGACATAGCCATTAGAAGTATTTGAATGATCTTTGGCAATCCTGCCATTTGCACCTTCAGTAATTTTTATATTTTGTTCCCTTTTTTCTCCTCTTCGACCTGCTCATGGTTTTGTGATTTTGTTTCATTCTCTACTTGTGACCAAGCTTGTCGATTCCTCCTTGCAGCTTTGTTGTTTTGGATGAAATACTCTGAAAGTGTTGGGCAAAGTATATGTGTTTTAGTTATGCAACAGATATATCAAGGATTTTCGCTGAGAACGCTCTATGTGATATAATTTGAAATTTTGCTAATGAGAGAAAGTAACATGACAATATTTGTTCAGATGTATGATCTTCATTTCGTGCATGTTCCATCTAGTTATGTAGTGTATTCTTTAATTCCTAACAGTAATTTAAATGCAAAAAGGAAATAATCAACATGGCAAGGGTGTAAAAAGAACACAATTTCATGTGACACAAGTTTATTACCTTATCGCCTTTAGATAATGATAAGACATCATGTATAAAGTTTTAACTACAGCCCTGCTAGGATTAAGGAGTCTGATCCCTTGACGAGAGTGCTTAATTGAATTCTGAACCTATAACGTCCATCACTTTGGGACGAAAACTATCATTATGCAAAAGCTCATGCTCCTTTATTTGGTCAAACCTGTAAGAAGGTAATTGAAGTTGGAGCAATTTATTTTCTAGGAAGGTGTTGGGTCATAGAGCTATAACCGAATTGCATTAGTCTTTCTTTTTTCCTTTAATACGCCAATCAAACTAACAAATTTTCAGCTACCTATTTGATTTATAATGCATGCGTGTTAATATCTTGCACCTTGCGGCTAATATTATGCAAAATGATATTGCAGATGGTATCTCAATTTTACTTGTTCAGTTATGTTGTCCACAATGGAAAATGGGAAAATTATAAGAGGTCTAGCAGGGGTCCCATGTGAAGGCCCTGTATTGTTGGTTGGTTATCACATGCTTATGGGTTTAGAAGTAATCCCTCTTGTTGAACAATATTTGAGGCAGAAAAAAATTTTACTTCGTGGTATAGCACATCCAACATTGTTCACTCAGCTGATTGAGAGTGAAACTAATGAAAGTTCANAACGAAAGTTCAATCTTTGATATGCTGAGACTATATGGAGCTACGCCTGTCACTGCCAGCAACTTTTTTAAGTTGCTTGCAACAAAGTCACATGTTCTGCTGTATCCTGGTGGTGCCCGTGAGGCCTTACATCGTAAGGTGCGTCATAATCTTCCCTTGGTTAATTCCATCTTCTATATTATTCTTAAATGGGAAGCCTTGTACTATTGCTGTTCATGCCTTCTCCTACAAGTCTGGTAAAATTGTTATCCACTTTAAAATCATTCTTGACTCCAGTTCCTTACCTTTACGCTAGGATGTGAATTACTGGTACTTAATACTGGAATTCTCTGCTTGTAGATACATTTTCTTCTGTAACTAGAGGAATTTAATGAATAGTGGATTCATGGGGGAGTATACCCCTCATATATGCCTAAAACCATAAAGATGGAATTTCCTTGCAACTAAGGACAGCTAAAAATAACTCACTTCAGAAAAGGAAAAGTACCGTTAGCTAAAAGTAAGGCCAGTGCTGAACAGAAAGGCTCACAGAGGAGATTCTTAACTGTTTTGCAATTATTCACCTTAGCCAGTGGCCTCCATTTGGTGGCAAGCTAACCACTATGATATACACTTGTCTAGTTAGTGTGTCTCTTTATATAACATTTCATAGTTGTTAAATGGTGAAATTGATGCAGGAAAACTACATTTCTGCATGTGTATAAATGTCTCTATATGTGTTATTTAATTAAAATGCATAATGTGTTAGTTCATGATTCTTATAAGTTATAACTTGGCTGAACTTCCCATCAAGTTAGTTAAGAATCTAACTGGACATATTGGAAAAGTTTTAGAGATTTAGGTTGTCTGTTACTTCTCGTTAGTTCCATACACTGGAATGTCAAGGGCGTAAAAGAGGACGCTAATTTAACTGGAAAATAAAAAATTATTTATGATGTCAGTGACGTTAATAAGCAATTAAAGCTCATTTTGCTTGTGAATTTGATGAAGACATCTAGCAACGCAAAAATAACAAAGCAATGCTTTCTTGCTGGAAAATAAGAGAAGAAACTTAATGTATCAAATAATTGACGATATGATGAATACATGACACACTTTAAGTATCAACCTCAATACACACAATATTTGTCCATTGTGTGATATATCTTACTTAAGAATTGAATCTTGAAATATTCTAACTCTTATCATTTTAACTATTAACAGTTTACTTCTAACATAAGAACAAGCACCTTATATTCTTGAACTTCGACAGAGCTTATGTAGTCATAGTCTCTTTTAGGGATATGTTACAACTGGTATTCCCAATAACAAAGTGAGAATATCACCTTTTCTTTTGGAAATGTTTGCTTCAAAGTGGATTTAGTATAATTTTCTGTGCTTTTCTGTAACTGCTATTCACAAAGGTAAGTTGAAGAGAAAGGCTGGTGACTGGCTGTCTTCTAGTGTACCTCATCGAAATGACAAGAAAATAACAATAACCTCATTGTCATCAAGTTAGGGTTTTTCCTTGTGATGTTATTTCCTATGTTGATGGTTTTGTATTTGTGATAGGGAGAAGAGTACAAGGTGATTTGGCCTGACCAACCAGAATTCATCAGAATGGCTGCAAGATTTGGTGCGACAATTGTGCCATTTGGCGTTGTTGGGGAAGATGATATAGCACAGGTTTGTTTATGCTGTCCTACATATATTTTCCTTTGTAACATTAGAAGAAATAATGATGCTTTTTGGTTCCTTGATATTATTTCCCTTAAAAGCTTTGGTCACGTATCTGTTAGCTAGTCTCATTTCAATTTGGAAGTTGCAGTGAGTTATTTTCTCTTGGGTATATTGCATTTTCGAATAAATTAATCTTGAAAGAGATTTTCGTAGAAATAGGAGTAGAACAAGGAAGAACTATTCACTTATCCCTTTGATCTGTATATAGTGACTTGTTCATTCTTGGAATTGGAACCAGTTATGTACCATTTCTCAACATATTCTTGCCTGATCTTAGCTGTTCTGATTGCAGTTAGTTCTCGACTATGACGACCTAAAAAAGATTCCTATATTGAGTGATCAGATAAGGCGTGACAACGAACTGGTGGCGAGGATGGGTGTAACAGTCAGGTTCATTCATGGTTCCCTATTGTTTTCGTATCGTTTCCTAATATTTGCTCCTTGCGCTCCTGCCTCTTTCATTCTGAACCATTTATTATTATATCCTTTTAACCGTTCTATAAATTTTTCTGTAGGACGGGTATGACCGGGGAGGTTGCCAATCAAACATTGTATCTCCCGGGCCTTTTACCTAAGGTACCCGGTCGTTTTTACTACTTGTTTGGAAAACCTATTCATACAAAGGGAAGGCAGGACCTGTTGAAAGATAGAGAGAAAGCAAAAGAATTGTACTTGCATATAAAATCTGAAGTTCAAAATAGCATGAATTATTTGCTTAAGAAAAGAGAGGAGGATCCTTACCGAAGCGTCATTGATCGGACCACATATAGAGCATTTTCTGCTACTTTTGATGATGTCCCAACATTTGATTATTAGGTGATGAGTTAGAAGTTAGATTTATTTTTATAGTAGATGATGTATACGTATTCATGGTTCAATTTTATGTTGGTATATTAAAATTTTCTCCCAATATGAGCAAGCTTTCCACCAATGACTAAGGAAAATATCAAATCTTTATCATAACTTGCATCAGTGTCAGATAGAACTTGATCAAGCAGAAACAATTTTAATTTTTCTGCAGATATTGTTCTAATTGTCAAAGATTATGTACATATTGCACCTATGTTCTTAAGGGTCTTTAGATTGAGTACCACTTTGATCCTACTTTAGTTCAATTTTCAAGCTAAGCCACTGACTAGGCTCCAATATGAAAACTCAACTGCAGTTACTATTCCCTGTTAACATCACAACATGTGCATCAACTGCAGCTGATCCACTACAAGAAATTTGACTTTCAGCTACCAGTTTTAGCGAAGGGACATAAATCTGATCGTTATAGATGTATACTTAAAATGACCATATCTTTTTGGGGTCGTTTTCAACATTAGCAAGAGGATAATATACCGTCCTTAAGAAGCATAATATTCGGATTCCGGACTATTTGTTGGTTAGAGCTGAAGTGGGTGGATATAACTGAAGAACTGAGGCAGAAAAAATATATGCTTCATTATCTCATCCAGATAAGTTTGCACCAGATTCTCTTTCAAATACATATTCTCCCTTCCAATATAACGAAGGTTGAAACAATTAAGGGTGGAATAAGAAGTTTAAAGTTGAATTATTTTCAAATATAAAGAGGTGCCAGTTCTTTTTGGAACATACTAATAAGTAAATAGTGCCACGTAAAACGTTAGAATTTTTAAATAGCCAATACTTCTTTCCCGAAAAGTCATACTCCTATTTGGTTTCCTGTAGACTGTAGTGCAAGTAAAAAGTTGAATGTGATCTGTTCCGTTCATATTGATTTCAGTTTACTAATTTGGTTTCCTGTAGAGGCCGATGGACAAGTAACATGTTCCTTTTGTAGTGTGCCACAGAAAATGTGATAAAAAGGAAGTAAAATATTAAAGTTAAATTCCATGGAATAGAGGTTTACTGAAGTTCACTTCAAGTAAAAGTAAGAGATTCTATTCCAATAGCAAATATCCTCATCTAGTAGCTTGTTCTAATTCTTGGAGGCTCAAATTGGAGTAATCTTATTCTTTACTTGAAGAGTGAAATATTCACATTTATCTCTTATACCCTGAACTATTCTCACAAAAGAATCTCTTGTTACCTGTTTCCTTCTTGGCCTTATTAGCCCTCTCACGAAAATCAACCACTGGGAAATGAAAACCTCATAGCCAGGCAAAGTAGGAGAATTTGGTTCTTTCACATTATAGCCAAAGCTAAGAGAATCCAAAGATATAACAGTAGAAACAGAATAAAGAAGAGAATGTATACACGTACAACATGACTCAACTTCTCTATATAAGGAGCAACTTTAACTTGATTAAAACCAAACAAGGGGAAAAAAAAACTAAGCAATAAGCTATAGTCTAAATAATAGTTTATGGCTGGTTATGGCAAGGGTCCATACCAAAATGATTGGGGGAAACCAATTACTACTGTAAGTGACTACCCTGATCATGTCCATCGCCCTGTTATCATTGGTGGCGTCGAGGGCTATGTGGTGAGAGCTCAAAGAATTGTTGAAGTTCGTCATAGTTATGATTCGAGAGGTCTTCTAGACGAGTACAATGTGCACGAAGAATGGGACAATCATAGTCCTAGGAAGGTCCATGAATTCTTTGATAAAGTTCATAACGAGGCTAGTCAACCAACTCATCTCACTCTTTTGAGCTCTCCAAAGTGGAGCACTAAGCCTAGTTGGAGGAGTGAAGATCATGACTCTCCCAAGTATAGCGTTCATCGCGATTTTGATGGCAGCCCTCTTCGCAATAAGTTTGAAGGATTGCACCTTCAAGATAATCGCGGATCAAGTCCATATTCGTACAGGAAAGATGGTTATGAAAAGCCTAGCTTCACTCACTCCGCGGATTCTCCCAAGGCTGGTCATTTCAAGGACTATGGGGTCAACAACAAATGGGATTCACCACCAAGATCAAGAGGAATAAGCCCATATAGCAACACCAAAGATGATTATGACAAGCCAAAATTCAATGGAGGTTACAAAACAAGTAGTAGTCCTCCACTTAGCCAGGCCACAAATGATATTGGCACTGCTATGAAGATCCTTGAGGAAGGTAATAACACTTTGGCTTCTCCTACTTATGCACCACAATCACATTTTCCAGCATCTTACTCAACTCCACATAGAAAAGAGAGTTACCCTGAGAGAAATCAAGGTGGAAAGCCTCTGGCTTCACCTGTTTCTACACAACCATCCTATTATCCAATATCAAATCCGACAACCGAAAGGAAAGAAAGTTACCCTGAACCAATAAAAGGAATGAAGCCTCTGTTTTCCCCCGGCTATACCCAACAACCACATTTACCAACTTCAAACCCTCAGCCTCAAAGGAAAGAAAGTTACCCTGAAACAGCGCATGGCGCAAAGCCTCTGTTTTCCCCTGTTTATACACCACAATCGCATTCACCAACTTCTAATCCGACATCTCAAAGGAAAGAAAGTTACCCTGAATCAACGCATGGCAAAAAGCCTCTGTTTTCCCACGTTTATACACCACAATCACAGTCACCAACTTCTAATCCGACATCTCAAAGGAAAGAAAATTACCCTGAAACAGCGCATGGCGCAAAGCCTCTGTTTTCCCCTGTTTATACATCACAATCACATTCACCAACTTCTAATCCGACATCTCAAAGGAAAGAAAGTTACCCTGAATCAATGCATGGCGCAAAGCCTCTGTTTTCCCCTGTTTATAATACACCACAATCACAGTCACCAACTTCTAATCCGACATCTCAAAGGAAAGAAAGTTATCCTGAAACAGCGCATGGCGCAAAGCCTCTGTTTTCCCCTGTTTATACACCACAATCACATTCACCAACTTCTAATCCGACATCTCAAAGGAAAGAAAGTTACTCTGAAACAGCACATGGCGCAAAGCCTCTGTTTTCCCCTGTTTATACACAACAATCACACTTGCCAACTTCAAGTCCAATGCATCAAAGAAAAGAAAGTTACCCTGAGACAGCACACGATGCAAACCCTCATTTTTCCACTGGTTCTGCACAACAACCACATTATCCAACTTCAAATCCAACACCTCAAAATAAAGAAAGTTACCCGAATAAACCACAAGGTGGGAAACCTCTGTTTTCCCCTGCTGATAAGCAAAAACCACACCCTCCAACATCACATTCAACACCTGAAATGAAACAAAGCTACCCTGATTATGAAACACGAGGTTGGAAACCTTCATTTACCCCTTCGTCTCCACAAAAGGAACACTACAGTCCACAAATGGAAGACCATTACCCCGACAAAATCCAGGGCGGTAAGTCTTTTCCATCTCCATATGAGGAACCCCGCTATGGTTCAAGCATCCCACCGAAAGAAACCATCAATAGCAGTGAGGCCAAGAAAAGGTATGCTAACTTAAAACCCGTGTCACCAGCACATATGAAATACAATGGAACACTTGATAGCAGAGAGGCTGTGAAAAAGTACAACGGTGCATTTGTTCCTTAGAGAAATGCAGGGATATTACTTGGCTTATTGAAGATGGTTCCTGCTGCAATGATAATCAAGCACATCATATCTTTTGTTTTCTACTTCGCGAGTGTGGTAATGTTTTCTTGAGTGTTTGTGTTTGAATAAAAGCATGTTATGGTAAGTAGTAGTTGCTAGTCTAGTAGTAATACAGTTTGCTTGTGTACTTGTGATTGCATATGAAATGAGAAAACAGTTGTGTTTATTATGTAAATTTGTTCATGGTTTGGCACATGAGTTGTTTGTTTCCAACCTAGCTTAGTGAACTGGATAATTTGGATAAATTTCTCATTCACTGGACAAACTTAACTTCATCTAATATCGAAAAGTACCATACTTTGATCAAATTTATTACTTTAAATCATCCTCTTGATCAAGTTAATATTGATTTCAGCTCTACTTTAATCTAATTTCCAGTATATATAGTTTGGCCAAAACTTATTTACTTTGAAATAAAATTTTAAAAAGTGAGTGCACTGTCCATCTGCTCCATAGAAATAAAAACCAGGCGGAAAGATCAACAAAGCAACAGCAAAAATGAAAAGTAAAACCAAAATAAAATTCCAATAATGAGGCAATTCATGAGCTAATACGAAAAACCAACTATAAGAAGTCCATCACAAACAACAAAAGGTATGAACTGGAGTGAACAAAGTCCAAAACACGAAATTTGGAACGTCAATCCTGATTAAAAGAAGATTAAGAGTAAGTCAAGCAACAGATGAGGACTTTTCCTAAAAGCTTCCAGAAACAACCACAAATGGATATGAGAATTATCAAAGTTGGAAGAAAGAATTTGACTTATATATAATACAATAGTATGAAACTTACTTTAACTTAGAAAATGGAAAGTCTATTGTTCCAGCCAAACGCACACGCAAGTATACGCGGTCGTCAAGTAATAAAGTGATAAGATGGAGTGTCGAACCCACGAGGACTTGTGATTAACTATTAACTAAATTAGACTATTCTAATTATCTAAACAAGAGTTAAACCTAGAGGTATATGGCTCTGATCTAATTAAACTAAAAAGAAAATAAATAATAAACTCTGAACAAAGGAAGTGTAGATTTTTATGTTATCAATGTAATGAAAACGATCTAGGGTTATGAGCTATCTAACATTCCTATTGTATTCTTCAATTGAATTGACTAACTAATTCATCTAGCTTATTGGTTGACATGGTTAATATTGCTCATAAGAATCTGTCGAGTTCTTACTCGCATATACAAGTTAACCTAACGCTTATATGTCTATGGAGTTAGAACTAGCAATAACGCATTTATAATTCCTGTACATCAACCAAGCAAGTCAATTAGGTATATGTCTATCCTAACCGCGAATCCGTTCCCTGATGTCCAAGTTCAAGAACTTGCTCTACTCAATCCTATGTGCAATCTAGAATTCTCACTTTCGAGTTCAATTCTAGATTCGTAGATAATATTCAA